GTCAACTTCTCCACTTTTCATAAAAGTTGTCTCCAAGTTAGATGAAGGAAAAGGACCAGATTCTTAGTTTTAATAAAAGATATTATTTTCTTGGCATAAGAAAATTAGTTTTTTGGCTAGGATGCACAGATTTGATGAACGCATGCAAAGACAGGAGGGAAATAATTCATGTTTTTTCCTCTCCTTATGAGTCATTTTGGCCTAAAACACATCTTCCAGAAACTTTTTGGCTGAATTTGGCTACATTAGTTTGCACTCGACATCAGCAGGCTTATCTAGGTCAGAATGCTGTGAATAACATTCAAGTGTCATTGCTTGTCACTACTGTGCATAGGGTTTAAACATAAAAAACACTATGAACTATACGCTTCACTTTAAGCTGAAAAAGGCAGCCAATGAGTAACAGAAACACATTATTGTAAAGTACACAGCACATTTATAAAGAACTTGTACACATTAATATGAAATTCATATGTTTACTTGTCATAATTGTCTTCTGTATCCAGGGATAAAAAAATAGGAAGTTATATTACATGAAGATTAATGTAACAGTGCATGCACAATTTATTTGAAGCAAATTAAACCCAGGATTAAATAAACTCTAAATGCTGCCTTTAGAACAAAATTATTTGCACGGCACTCTTGGAGCAAGTATTTAGCGACTGTAGATCTAATCAAAACAACTCTGAAACATTATTGTCAAAGCACATTATCTGTGGAGGAAAGGAGTTATGTTTCACTTCAAAAATGAACAGCAACTGCACATTTCCAACAGGTACCTCTCAAATGTGTGTTAGAAGATTTCTTTTATGCCAAGGACTCTGTGTAGATTTAGCAAAAAGAGCAGCCCAAAAGAAATGGCTTTGTATGGTCAAGCAGTGCATCAGACCCAACATCCTTGCTTTAGGTTCAAGGCTGAACAAATTACTTAATACTGGTCTCAACCTGGTTCTGTGGCCCAGATGGCCAGTGGTGGTGTCATGGGCTGACCCAAGCCAGACGCCTGATACTCAAAAAACCCACTCACTCTCTCCCCTCTGCAGCTGGACAGAGGGGAGAAAATTTAACCAAAGGTCCGTGTGTCGGGATAAGGACTGGGAGAGATCACTCATTAAATACCATCACAGGCAACTGAAGCTCAGCTTAGAGATGCAAAGTGAATTTATTACTAACAAAATCAGAGCAGGATAATGAGAAGTAAAATAAGCCCTTAAAAATCACCTTCCCCTCACCCTTCCCTCCTTTCCCAGCTCTGCCACCTATCCCAGTGGCACCAGGAGACAGGGAGTGGGGTTTATGGTCAGTTCACCACCTGAGGCTTCTCCTGCTGCTCAGGGAGAGCAGTTGTTCCTCTGCTGCTTCAGGGGATCCCTCCCATGGGAGACAGTTCTCCATGAACTCCTCTGACGTGGCTCAATCTCACAAGCAACAGCCCTCCCAAAACTGCTGCAACCAGAGTCCTTCCCATGGGCAACATTCCTCCCAAAACTGCTGTGATGTGGGTCACTCTTCCATGGGGTGCAGTCCCTCAAGGACAGGCTGCTCCAGCCTGGGAGCCAGGGCTTCTCTCTCCAGGGGTCTCCCACAGGGTCACAGCCGCCTCCAGGCATCCACCTGCTCCGGTGTGAGCACCTTCTCCATGGGCTGTGGGCAAATCTCTGCATCCCTGGTGGACCTCCATGGGGACAACCTGCTTCACTGTGGTCCTCACCATGGTCTGCAGAGGAATCTCAGTGACAGGAGCACCTCCTGTCCTTCCCTATCCACTGACTCAGTGTCTGCAGAGTTGTTCTCACGTATTCTCATTTCCACTCCTATGACTGTCATTTAAACTGTGCCATCACCTTTGTTATGATTTCTTTTTGTATCTATTATCAAAGAGGCCTTACCACCATCTCCAATTAGCCCAGCAGCATATGTCTTTGGAATTGCCAGGAATTGACTCTGTTGGACACAGTGGAAGCTTCTAGCAGCTTCTCACAGAAGCTACCTCTGTGGCCATCCTTGCAACCAAAACCAAGCCATGCAAACCCAAGTGGCTATAGAGGGCTACATCCTATAAAGTGGATCTTACTTTCTAATTCAGTTCCATTTTAAAATAGTCCAGCTATGCTGTCCAAAACATTCCCATCACATCAACAAAATTAAGTGGGGATGAGTAGGAGAGTATCTTTCCAGGCATTCATATATATATGTATGTAAAAATTGAACCAGAGTACTTCCTAGCATGTAAAGTAAATATTGGAGAATACAATCTTTTCTGTAAATTTAAAAATCTAGAATTCTGTAAATTTCTAAATTTAAAGTACTATTGACAGCTAAAAAAATCCAACAGTCCACCAAATGAAAGGGAACTGCAACACAGAAGAGTTATAACATCACATGTCCAGAACAAAGACCATTTTAACATAACTTGTCTTTAAAAATCCCTAGTATTTGGGAAACCTAGAGTTTGGGAGCTGTCTCATAATTTGAAGGGCTGGGTAACTGAATTCTGAGTTCTTTGCTAGTTTAAAATCCTGTGAGACTTTCATATAAAATTGGATTTTGTGAAAATATGTAGAACCCTTTGAATCTGTTGTACCTCAGGATCTTGAAAAGCTTTCAAGAAGCATAGATACAGTGTCCAAAATGCAAGTCTTTGAGAGCTCAGACAGTCTGTAAGAGCTGGGAACTGCTACAGAGACATGGACGCTCTCTGGAGTACACCCAGTTGTAATAGCACATTTTGGAAATCTCTTCTTGTGCAACAGTGAGGTATTTTTGTAACAGTTGATACTACTATTTATCAAATAATACCAGCATCTGTGTTTCTGTTACAGCAAACATGAGTGAACAAACAAACATGCACGCAAACTTAGAGCTCATTTCAAAACCTTTTCCCACAAAATTATTGTTTCTCTATTTGCAGAGAAAGGTTGACAGCCCAGAGTAGGACAATTCTGAAGGATTCCTGAATGGAGCACAGAGTGCCAGATGACCCTCAACTATGAATTCCTGTTTAATCACTGCACAAATACTTTACTAGGTCAGTAACTGTATTCTGCCAGTTTGCATCAGCCATAAAATGCAAGGACATTCTCCAAGCAAGGAGACTTCCTCTCTCAAGCTGTTCAACCTTGGTGTCACTGCAGAGAACCCTGAGCACTGTGTTCATGTTACAGCCCTGGCACCTGCCCGCAGTCACTACCAGCTCACCACAGAGATGTCTGCAGAGGACCCTGACCTGCTCTCAAATTATGACAAACACCACAAAACCAAATCCTCTGGATGACTATTACATGACAGTATAAAATCCTCACTGGCAAGGCACAAGAAGCCACATAACCACATACATGACTATGCCCTGGCATAACAAAAAAATAAGAATTTTGGGACACTTAATGGATAGCAAATTACATTTGTTCCAAATAAGTTCAAATTTGCATCAATTAATAGAAAAACTAGAAGTTTTTAAATAAGCTGTTACTACTACACCAATGAAAAAGTGAAGGATTCAATGATGAGAAATACTAGTTAAATACATATGGAGAAACATTAACACATGCCTGCTCACCATTGCATAGATTTTCAATTTTAATCTTGCAATTAAAAGAGAAAATATGAAGATAATTTGTGGATTTGATTCATTCAATCTTTTCCTTCCTTTTCACATTGCAAATATCTTGCTATAACCTCTCCAGTGCACAGGGGAAAAACAAATCTCCCTTTTTATTTTAGTTAAAAGCTACTTACTGGCACACAGTGAGAAACTGAATCTCTGAATCTTAGCTACAAATATGTACATTCCAGATCAGAAGCAGTATGGATCAAAATGGATCTAAATCTCCTTTCACATACCTATGAAATTGGAAATATATTCTGATCTTGCATATGCCATTTTTATTTTTATAAGCAGATGCTGAACATGCTTTTGCACAGATGATCTTTAAAAAAGAATTGACAAACAGAGATTTCCTACTTTGAGTGTGGCATAAGACAAGCCATCAAAGCATACAAAGAAAAGAATACTACTTGGTAAGAAAACTCTTCAGACTGTAAAGGCAGAAAAGAATTAAAGTGCCACCATTTCTTAGTTTAATTTGATGATAAAATGAAGAGACAGATGTGCAAAATAACTGGTGTTCAAAGAAGTCATGGTTTGTCCAAACAGAATGGATTCCACTCTCATTACATGATGAAATCACTTTTCAATTAAAGCAGTGTGCATGCTTCCCCATGGATGAAAATTTCCCTAGCCAACTCAGGAAAGTACTCAAAACTTTAAATTACTAGTGGGATGTGTCTGGCCCTTGGATAGTATCAGAACAGCTAAATAGCTTGCATTCCCCTGTATAATTTATAACAACTCTGATAATACCAGGAGATTTGGTTTAGAAAATTTGGAACATAAAAGGGCATGAAAAGCTCTCAGAAGTCTGCAAACAGAACTCCTGGAATGGTATAAAAATGTTACAGAATAACATAATGCACATCAGTTTTGCTGCTGTACCAAATTAAAACCCAGTCTTGGCTACTGGAATAATTTAGAAGATGGAGAGAAGCCTTTTGATTAACTACACATGAGCATACAGGCATACATTTTTTAATAAGATTTTCCTTTAAGAGCAAAATATTTTGTCATTTGCCATGTCCCTAAAAATTTGTGGGCAATGATGAGTCAAAGTAGTCAAGGGGAAAAGCCCAAAGTATCAGTGGTATCGTGTGAGCAGTACAAACATGGAGTTAATCTACTGAATCAATTCTTAAATCAGTATTCAAGATGTTGGCTCACCTTCAGCGAACCAGGGACAAGGGAACAAGTGCTGCAAGTGTAGAGCAGTCCCAAAAAAAGAGAAAAATAGCAGAAAGAAAAACGACCTCTTCATGCTCTCAGGGTATGCTGAAACCAAAATTAGCTCAGTCTTGGGTCAGAGGTTTCTTCCCCCTGTTCCCCCCACCCACCCTTTTCTTCTATAGGAGAACTGAAAAAAGTCAAACATGACATGGACTTAATTCGCAGAAATTCCTCAGGCATTGGTTATGCACTTTCCACAGATGTTAGCTGTTTTCAAATGGAAATTACAGTGTCAGACATCATTTTCTCAGAAAAACAGTTTTAAACTCTTTTGATCGGAAGAGATTTAGCTCAGTTTCACATGAGTCAGGGTGAACAATTTCTAGAAGGTCCCCTGGGAACAGCATTTGGATGCTAAAAGACAAAAGCTTTTCAAGCAACATGACAATAGAAAAACTGGAGGTATCTTCTGTAGTGTGCAAGTAGGGGAAGGGAATGGTGGGAAGAAGTGCATGAGGACTGCAGGGATTTTCCAAAAGAGCATGTGAGAAAGCGGCCAATAAACTGACAAAGCATACAGCATCACTTATTTCACAAGCAGCATTTAGTCTCTAAGGTACAAAATGGGGTTTTTTTAGCTTTCAAAACAACTCACAAAGCTGCCAACTGTTACTCAATGCATTATCAAGTTAATGGAGGGAAGGGGTTGGGGGAGACAGAGAAAGAGAGAGCTTTTATCTTCTCCAGCACTGACTGAAAGAATGAAGTCAAAAGTAACAACTCCAGGCTTAGATCAGGGTTCTCCCCTGCAGGGCAGTGCATGGCTGGATGAATATTAAAATCAGTACACAAAAATGTCCATGAAACAACTGCCTTGAGATCCCCATATTCAAAATGAGTATTAAAAATATATCCACGTGGTTATGTGGGCCTAAGTTAACCTTTATTTTTCATTCATCTTACTTTTTCCTTTTCTAAAAAGGAAAAATTCTACTTAGTCACCACCATGTCCTTTACATGCTCATGTTACAGCATTTATTTTATACTTGCTCTGCTTTATTGATGCAAAGGCAATAGTCCTTCTGTTGCATTGTGAAACTTTTCATACCATCCTTTTAACTGTGATGAAGAATTTTACTATAGTAGGCAGATTTCTGTTAAGTAATACTTAAAATCATTAAACGAAACAATTTTGAACATTCACCTTGAGGATTGCCAAAAGTCAAAATAATCCTAGCAAACTGCAACAAAGATGTCCTGGATTTAGAACATAACATTTAATTCCCTCTGCCTTCATCCAATGAATAACTGTCAAAACACTCACAGTTCTGGCTTGAAACAGCAAAGGAACTCTTCTCCTCTGACCACGCTCCACTTCACTCCTGTCTCTCAAAAAAAATAGGGCAGACTCATTATTTAGGACACTCAAGTTCAAATGCTGAAAAATTCACAGGCATTCAGCAAGTTTTCAATCTACCTCACTATCCACTTATCTAAGCCATAATTTGCCAGTTGGTCTATTAGGATTTCACAGGACACAGAAGGAATCCCAGACCATCCTGTGTTTGAAGTAGTGTCTGCAGCATCCTTTGAAAGGCAAAAAGGAGTTAGAACTAGCAGCTGAATTACTGAAAACAGCTTGTATTGATCTCTGGTGAGAATCCTGTTCCCTATTTCTTGATCCTTGTTACCCTTGTCTGATGTTCATCCTCCCAAGGTATTTGTGAGATTTCTGCTGATTTTTTTTCTCTTTCTAGTTGAATTTTATGGGCTAATCAAAAATACACAGGACAACTATTGCTGTCTCAATATGCTTCTGTTGGGAACTTTTTTTAAAGTCTAAAGAGAAAGCATATAAGGATTTGACCAAAACATGATCCTTATAGTCTTTATTACAGTAATGTCTTTTTCTGTATCTGGAGCTTTTCTGTGTAACTACTTCTAATAACATGAATACTACTAAATGCTTCTGAAAATAAAATTCAAGTTATCTCTTAAGGAAGATCTTTGATAGGAGACCAGAACAGTCTAGAAGAGGTTGCTGGAGTCTCCTGAGTTTATATATTTGTGTACTTCTACATAGAGAGGAGGGGGTAATGCTGAATTACATATTTGCCAGAAACACAACAGAGCTGATGATCTAATCATGCCAAGATACAAGGGAGGCTTCACCTCAGCAAAATATGAGTGTATGTAAGTCCATGGAGCCTGAGAGCAGGAATCCATGGATGCAGAGAAAGCTAGCTGATAAATTTGCAAGACCACTCCTGAATATCTTTGAAATGTTGTGGTGATCAGGAGAGATTCCCCATGATCAGAAGAAATAAGTGTCACAGTCTTCAAGAAAGGCGAGAAGGATCTAGGCAACAGGAAGCCAGTTCACAATAAGGCAAGGAGGAATTAATCTTGGAAACAATTTCCAGATACACTAATACCACTGGGAGTAGTAAACATGGCTTTATGAAGGGGAAATCATTCTTAATAAGCCTAAAAATCTTCAGTGGTGATTAGCTTGGTGATAGTGTTCTCTTAGATGAGGGAAGAGTGGCAGATGTTCAACTCAACTTTAGTAAGGCTTTGGACACTGTTTCCTGGGATTCCTTTCCCTCAGGTAAGTCCGAGCCTGAGGGACTGAATTTGCTGAGATGTTTGCTATTCATTTTTTTTTTTCCCCTTTCTTAGAACAGCTGACTTTCTCTGCAGTACCAAGTTTCTGGCTGTAGAAGCAGATGTTGAAGTTTAAAATGCTGGCATGGTAAAACTATGGATTGTTGAGCAGTAACCTGCTTAAGGTTCCACATTATTCTCCCTCATGACTTACTATTCATGCTGAACAAGCTTTATAGATGATCAATAACCCTCCTCCTACCAAAGGGGGATACTGAGGAGAAAGTAGTGGTCAGGAACAGGACCAGTCCCAAACTAATGTGCAGGCTGTCCCCACATGCAGGTTCAGGTGAGCAAAGAGGACAGTGTGGATGGGTCTGCTGGCCTATGTGTATTTCCAGAACATGCTGATTCCATGGTGCAGGGCTTACACACACACAGACAAAATCCACAGTGTCAGGGAAACATTGCAGCACTGAGAACTTGTGCATCAAACACCTTGAACAGGTATCACATGGAGGAAAGTCAAAGCAGCAGATCTCTCCTTGGTGCTCAGATCAACTTACAGCTATGCTCTGCTCTTCAATGCAAAGGAAGAAAAAAATTAAGAAATAAAGACCACCATTTAGGACTCAAACAGTAACTGGACAGGACCTCCCCACTCAAAAAACTTTCATTAAAGACAATTTCTGCTTTTACCGAAAACTGAAAACGATTTGTTATACAAAGGCAGTAAGACCAAATGATGTAATAGTCTCTTGTTGCCTTAGAGACCACATGACTGCCCATAATAATTTTGATTTTGTTCATAAATATTCTGCACAGCAGTCCTGAAATCCAGTGTATGTTGTGACTAAGCTAGACAAATACCAGAAATACTTGTATGAGATTATATATACACATGACTCTTATGCAAGCTCCTTATGGGAATCCAAGGAGAATTTTGAAAAGAAAAAAAAAAAACACCTAAAAGTTATAACCATCCTGAGGAAATCTGATAGCAATGAAGGCAAGGCAGTGGTATCAGAATATTTGCTAGGAAATGAGCAATTTGTTTATACACACCCATCATTACATCAGCTGTTGCACTGCAAGTCACTGTTAATGAGAAAAGTGGGTTTGTCCTTGACTGAGATTGTTCCAAGCTTTATAAAGGCTTCCTGATTTCAAAACTGGTGCTCAGTAGTTCTAAAATCTGTGCATAAGAAAGCCATGAATAGTAAGTCATGAGGTGTAATAGTGTGAAACCTTAAGCAGGCTACTGCCCAACAATCCATAATTTTATAATTCCAGCATTTTAAACTTCAACACCTGCTTCTGCTGCCAGAACATTGGTACTGCAGAGAAAGGTTTTCAGCTGTTCTAAGAAGGGAAAAAAATTAATGAATAGCAAACATCTCCTTAAATTCAGACCCTCAGGTTGTGACTTAAAGGACTCTAAAGAATTCTGAGGGTTCTGAAACTAGAAAGAGACCCATGTTAAGTTATTCCAGAAATAATAAAACTAACACAATCTCATGTCAGAAGCTAGTGGCATGTTACTAAAAAAAGGAAAACTTACAATTAAAATTCCAGTGTCAAGATCTCAGATGATGTGAATTTATCATTAGCAAAAAAAAAGTTCTAAAGGATGCAGAAGTACAGTACTTTGTCTCTTTTGGGCCTGGTAATTGTCAACATGAAATTGCTGGGAAAAAATGTATTTCAAAGACCTGCTTAGTAAATATTGACCATATATGAACTCCAATTCCAACACCATTTCAGAATTCCCTTAATTCTCAATTAGAGTTTACCATACCATAAGCATTAACACTGAAGATACTAATTTACAATAAATGTGCCAAGCCAAAAAGGAATTAGGAGAGAGCATTCCTATGAAAAGGCTTCAGAGTTTGAGGCTTTTTACTATATTCTTCTCTGTAGATAAGGTATGCTAAGCATGGGTATGATCACTTATAGCAGTTCCCTTACCCTGGTGTGAGGAAATCCTTTGTAATGCCTCCACCAGAGTACAATAACACAGATGTAAAGCAACGTGATTTGAGAGACCTCATACAGCTTATACTATGACAGAATGGCAAAATTAACAGAACACAGAAATTTAACATCTGGCTGAACTGACAATGTTGGGAACAAGGTTTGAGATTCATTCCAGAGAGCAAGAATTTTTCTGTAATGCAAAGATCCCATATAAGAGACAGGTTTCATCTGAACCTTAGGAAAACTGTGCCAGTGGCACATAAAAATTTAAAAGTCACAAACAAGACTTTAAATCACAGAAAGCAAGAAAATCATCAAGTGCACAAGAATGTGTGGTACTATTACAGGTAAAGATACAAAATTAACATCTCTTGAAGAAAATGGTACAGATTAAAAAAACCCAAAAAAGATTAAGCAAAGTAGCACTTTTGATTTCATAAATACCAATTAATTTGATACTTACAGCTCCAAGCAGTTTACACTTTCCTCTTCAATCTTTTCTAGTGAGACTTTTCTCTGGTGCTGTGGTTACTTCTTCAGGCAAAACATCCCAATGTTCATCATCCCTGAATCTTGTCTTTAGGAGTCACACCTGTGACAAGCAGAAGCAAAAGGGCAGCAAAAGGCTTGTACATCCCCAGGGATGAACGCAACTCAGCTTTTGTGACTTTTTAGACCTTATTCAGCTGGCAATAAAGCCCCATACCCAATACTTATTTAAACTAATTAGCAAAGAAATGAGGGACCAAAAAACCACAAAGTGCTTCTTGAGCAAAATCAACCAAAAAAATTAGCGTATGGCTTATGTTTAATTTGCCCCACTGCATTTTACAAGACTTCCAAAAGAGTTACACCATGCAACATCATTTATATAATGCGAAAGATACCCCAGTGTCAAATACCCATTTTCAAATTAGTATTTTCAAATATTACTGTCCAATTTTCATATTTGGTAGCCTATTACCCTATGTTTACAAAAACTGCAAACTTCCCTCTGTGAGAACACATCATTTATTTATTACACATCATTAAATACATGCCTGGATAGGATTTTTGACTAACAGTGTTAATCACCCTGAGGCCATGAAGTCATAACAAAATAAGGTCATTATAAAATCCCCTCTGATCTGTGGCTTTAGATGAAATACATGTTTCTCAATAAGAAATTTTGAAATATTTTAAGATTCTAGCACAGCCCTCTGAGCAAATGCAATTTAAATTGGAAGAGGATTGACAATACAGGATAACGGAAATATTTCTGCATGGTAACAAAAGAATGTATCTTTGTACAGTGTAATTGCCTATGGACACAGTTACAATAAGAGAATACTTAGGTAAATGGACAGGTAACTAGGTAGGGACTTTATTACACAAAAGCTGAAAGAATTAGTGTTAGTTTGCAAACTTAATAGTAGTAGTAGCAGCAGCAAGAGTCCATTTATTTTATTTAATGTGTTTGATAGTCATGATAGGATACAACTGTTCCTCAGTCACTCTGCTCTAGGAAAGGAGCAGAGATGGAGCAGCAGGAAAACAAAACATAGCTAATGAACTCCGAAAAATCCAAGATGTAGGAATGTAAAAGCAACAGGAAAACTAAGAAAAAAACTCAAAAAGGGCTCAGAAAATAATTATTTTTGGTATGGTGGTATGCACCAGCTGATCTTAATGTAAATTTTGATGAAATATGTCAATAATACAGTGGGTTTGAAAAATGCAGGGAAGCTATGACATTCACACTCTGAAATCTGCTCCCTGAACCAGTTGCCTTCTCTCGCAGACAGAAACAGCCCGTGCATACAGAGAATGAAATTTCTCAGCTACATGTTTTCATGCATTTTCTGCTTAGTCTAAGAAAATACTCATGGTGAGGCTTTTCAAACAAGTTCATTCATCATCTTAAAAACATTATTTTATGAATAGAAAACACAGTGGATATGACTTTGAGACTGAAGAATACTTACTATATTTTTGGCTAAAGAATTAGAGATGAGTCAAAAGGAACTTCTTGTCAGTACCCTGCCCCAAGCAAACAAAACATCCAGTGTATTTTACAATCAAGTTCAAGAGGAAGATGCTGCTTGCTCATAACTCCCTAGGTGGTTTAGGACACGTGCAGACTTTCCACACTCACACTCTGATATTTTTATCAGAATCTCTGGTGAACAATGACAAGTTGATGCTCTCATTTGCCAGTGGGAGAATCCATCAGGTCCAAACACTGCTAGGCATGCTAGCATGATGCTATTTCTCTGAGGCAAGGCATTGATGCTCTGTTAAGAGTTTTCTGACTGATTTTCTGGTACATTTTGCATTAGAAACTGTCACCAGTCCCATAACATTCCCACTCTCTGTTTCTCTGGCAGGCAGAATGCCAAAAAGACTAGATGGCTCTTACCATTTTAAGCCTTCCCCCACAGGCAGACAAACAATAAAAAAGTTCTATTTAAAATCTTTACAGATATTTTCTGTGAACCACACAATTGTCCTTTCCAGCTTGATCACTTCCTTCTCCTCTCATACACATTAAATACATGTATTTCAAATGAGACATCCATATTCTAACCAGTTTTAGACATGGCACATACAGAGAAGAGAAGTGTTTTCCTAGGTTGGAACTACAGAAAGATCCTCTCCTCTTCTCACAGAATACAATAATAGCAATCAGAATAAAAGCAACTTCAATAAGCAGCATCACCAACAAAAACTTATTGTAACACAGTCACAAAGTGATGCCTGCCCAAGCTCGTGAACATTTACTCAGTATTATGTTATACAAATTCTATTTTAAAATAAAATTTATGTTCCCCTAAATTTCCAGCGTGGGCTCAATTACCTCAAGAGAATTATTTTGTCAGCCTACAAGTAAATGCCATTGTTTTAGTTCTGATCATTGACGATTAAGCCACAAGGATTTTTTTAGATGCTTACATGTGGTCTTTTTTCTCATCTTAGACTGAATTAATTTGGCATTGCGACTGTAAGAGTCAGGAAATTTTAGCTTACTGGAAATTATTCCAGAAATTCCATTTTTTGTGAGCATACTTAGGGCTAAACATCAGACTTTCATCTGCTTGCACAATGCTGTAACCCATGGCTTACTCGTGCACAGTGCCTGTCGTATTTAGAATCACCATCCTTACGTGGCAAGAGTTGTCAAAAGTAAGGGAATTAATTTATCTTCTTGAATCAGGAATGACTAAACTCCACTGTCTAAAAGTTGAAAATTGGAAAAAAAACCCCTGTATATTGTATATAAAAACCCTGTATATTGTAAAAAAACCCTGTATATTGCGCAAATATATTTATTTTTTTCCCCCTAGCAGATGCATCTGACACTCCCTTATTATGCAAGTAAGCCAAGCCAGATGAAAAGCAAGGGAAGAACACTGTGTAACATTGTTCTTGATGAACCCTAAAAGAATCAAAAATATTGGTGTGGTTGAACAGTCTGGCCATGCTGATTAACCTGAAAGGAGCAGGCAATCCACTGATATACTCTTCAATCTTCATTACACAGCTTAAATAATACTGTGTATGCTGAAGTTTGACTGCAAAGCAGAGGACAAAAAAAGAAAACTCACTTGGTTTTGATGACGTTCTTGAATGCTTATCTGGCTGCTCTGTCACCATATCTTGTTTAGTCTAACATGAAACTACTCTTCTTGCCAGTGAATAAAAACTCCTACTCAAGCATCTGACTCAGATACAATCTAAAAATAATAGTCCCTTTCAGATATAAAAGTCAGAGAGAAAAGGTATAGTGAAATGGAGAAGGTTAACATCACAAAAACTCACATCTGAGTGGTATTCAAATAGCTTCCTGCATATTAAAGCAAATTTAGGCTTGGTCAAACCTACAGGAAGCTGCAATCCTTATAAAACAATATTAAAAACGAGCTGGTCATTGACAAGGCTCCACATTCTGACTGCATTTGTGGACTGCAATTCTGATGAGCAACAAGACCATAGCCCATGAAAAGATTTACACAGAGAACCCTAAAAAACGGCAAAATAAGATGAAGACCTTAAATAAAAGCCCCTACTGAGGCTAGTGTTTCTGTCTTGGAAGCTTGAGCTCCTTTTGAGTAAAACATGAAAGAGATTTGCTTCTTTCAAAGTTTATTTTCAGGCTTGCTAACTAGAGACTCTTTAAAAATGGCAAGATATGGAACAAAAGCCTTTAGACAATACAGAAAGTATGTTCATTTACTTTGTTTTAATGACCATGCATGGCAAATTTGAAAAGCTTGTGTTTCAACAGAAAAATTTTAAAGTGAGTAAGTTTATCTGATATCCAACTAGAGCAGATTCACAGAAGACACTTTTGTCTCCTTTTGTCCACCTACTCTAGGATTCTGTTTGTTTGTCTGTTATGATGTTTGTTAAACTGTAAATACCAGAACTTCCCCATCTTTCATATTTTTAAAATAATGCATATGACAGAAGCAAAACTGCTTCTAATAAATTCACAATTATTCCTAGCTGTTTACATGCTTCTGGTATGAAAGGACATATATTTTGCTTTGGGAAATTTTTTTGTTTTGTTCATGTGACAGAGAGAGCATGACATTAGAAATATTGCGTTAAAAATCCACAGCAGGGGAGCTATATACATCAAAAATTCAAAACACTATGTCTTCTGTTCTGCTCATTGTAGAGGCAGTAGTAGTTCTGTAAATCATTGCCTAATTCTCATCCTAGAGAGTCCTGGATTCACCTAGTTTGGGGGGCAGTAGCTACATATCCAAACTGACCCTGAGAAAGTTTTCACATAAATGTGTCTGTAGGACACATTTGTTGGGAAAACAAATGTGTCCACATTTGTTGGACACAAAATTTGTTGGGAAACTCTCTGGTCCCCAGTACTCTCTCAAAGTCAAAATGTTCAGGCAGAAGCTAAATCATGAAGCAATCACATCTGCTAAAAAATTTGTCCTCTGCCTTAATATGCACCATTTACATGCTTATTCAGAAAATTGCATTAGTCTGGAAAGATAGTATGTGCAAGAATAATGATGCATGTTTAAAAATCCCAAATAAATACAACTATTTATCTATACATAATTATACATAGGTACACCAATAACCACTTTTCCAGGGAAAAATTACTTCCCTCCAGCTTTAGGCTCGCATCAATAGGGCTTCCCTCAACTTTAAACAGTTTTGTCTTCAGTATCCATGTGAGACATAAGCCACATATATAAAACAACCATTTGATGATAAGGGTATTGTTTGAATTCTTTCACTTATTTAATTTGAATTATTAATGTTAATTGTATCTAACTGCACATGGTTGTTCTCTCTTTAATTACAGATAGCAGGATTCCAGATCATTTTCCTGATCACCACTGCAGCTGCTGGCATGTCCTGCAAACCACAGTGGAGTGTGCAGGAAGCTTTTCACACCAGTGCTGTTTGCAGAAAGCTGCAAATCTCCACCTACTAATATTTCCTGACAGAACCCACAGCTTCAGTCCTAAACTAAGAAGGGTCAATTGCTGGAATAATCTCTCAGTTCAGAGATTAAAGCCCTGACAACGTAATTCCATTGCTATACAACTTCCACATGGGGAAGGAAAGAGCCTTTTG